ATCCACATCACTATCTACAAAAATATCATCCCATAATTCATAGCTCAGATTAATTTGGAAGTCTAATAGAGAGGATTCGTTGATGACCCTACGGGTATACCTCTGATTTTGCTTCATTATATATGTAACATTGTATATTATAATGATCTGCCCATCATGATCAGATAATCCATTTTCCCATGGAAGAACACTGAAACTTTTGTTTTTGTATTTGTTAATAAAAATTGATCTGTTTGGAGGGACCGAGTGAATTCTCATTGAAATGTCATCTTTGGTGTGAATAATGCAATAACTTACTCTGCCATCTGAGGGATATCATAAGAGTAGTCTATTATAGGCTTCGGGGCAGCCACTGCCACACTAACAATAAACTTAGAATGCCTCCTGTTCAACTCATCTCTCAGTTCCATAAGCAGCTGTGTGAAATGGACACGCTCCCGTTTGTCACTCTGCCATGCTGGGAACTCCCAGTCAAAGTCCAACCCATCCAATTTACACTTGGCTAACAGAGCAAGAGTGTCATGGATGAATCTGAAATGTATAAGTTAATCATTACTTCTCAAATAATTGAGATAGTTTCTACTTCTCATATAATGTACAACATGGCAGTTTTCTGTACAGCCATATCAATAATAATTTACAGTTTAATCTTTAAGATGTGCATATTCTTGATTGGGTTTCTCCTACTACAGTGTCTGTTGTTGTTGTTTTGTGAATTCACCTGAATATACAAGGTGGTTCAAATATGACTGGGACTGATTTGTGTGTAAACAAGCTGCAGCTGCAGCAGCTGTGTGACCTTGAGAGAGTGAAGGCACAACCTCCACCCTCCCTCCTGTTCAGGTTAGAAACCATTCAGTCCTGTCTGGGAGTTGCTAGAGTGATGAGCGAGCAGAAGGTACCTCAGAGCGTGGAACAACGCATTGTGATCAAATTCCTTGGAGAAAACGTCCTGTCCGCTGAAATTCACCACAGACTCCAACAACAGCATGGGGAAGAGTGTCTCTCACGGTGGTGTAAGTGCTTCAGAGAGGGCAGAGAGCGCGTGGAGAATAAACCGCATGATCATCGGCCGCGAACATCCATCACCGTGCCAAACACTGATTGTGTAGACACGCTTATTTGTGAGAATATGCACATCACTATCAAGGAACTCGGAGAAATGCTATCCATCAGTATTGGTAGTGTAGAAGACATCGTGAAATACCATCTTCACTATCGCAAGGTGGATACACGGTGGGTACCACACACTTTGACGGACGTGAATAAAATGGTGCGCATGCAAGCTGCCAGTCATCTCCTACAGCAGTTTGAAGACGAAGGTGATGCATTTTTTAAGTCTATAGTGACCACCGATGAAATGTGGGTGCACTACTTCATTCCTAAGTCCCAGCAGTCATCATGCGAGTGGTGGCATACCAGTTCTCCCAAACCCAAGAGAACGCAGATGAGCCGTTCAGCAGGAGAAGTGATGGCAACATTCTTCTGGAACTGGCAGGGGGTTATCCATGTAGACTTTCTGACAGATGCCAGAACAGTCAATGCAGCTTATTACTCAGACCTCCTGGCAACAGACATGAAGGAAAAGTTCCGATCCAAGCGGAAGACAGGTGGAAAGCGGGTAGCCTTCCTTCAAGACAATGCA